CATGTGCTGCCAGGGGATTGCTCAGGGGTTGTGGAGATGCAGGCTATGGCACTAGCACACCCGGAGCAATGCTAGCCTGCAGGGACACTGACCTCCCTTGTGTCACCTGCTCATATGTGAAAGGCAGCCCCCCTGTTTGCTGCACCTCGGGGACTGCAGCACTCAGGGAGCAAAAAGAGAACAGCTGGAGGGACTCAGCATGGTTCTTGTTCAGCCTTTGAACCTGTCAAAGGAAGAAAAGGAGGCAGATGCAGTAGAATAGGGCTGAGCACCAGTCACAATGATATACTCACTGTCAGCGCTGAGAGATCCTGAAGGCTCTTTGGGATCTGGAAGACAGACAGACAGAGAGAAAAGAGTCTGCTTGGGCTGATTTAGACTATCCTCCTCTGCTGTACTCTGTAACTGAATCCTACCACCGACTAGCTGGGTCCAGCTCCCCCCACTTACCTAGAAGGTCTGTTTCTCCCAAAAGGGTTTTATTAACACCCACCATTTATTAACACCCACCATAATGGCAAAATTAATCCATTATGTCTGGATTTGTTTAATTTCAACTTCCTCTGAGACAGGTTAAATGACACAACAGACGTCACTGTGGAAGGAGGAGGAAGACCTTCCTCCTTCACCCTTCCCACCCTTGCTAAGAGTAGGGACAACTAGAACTAAGGGACCATTTGAACAAACCCCAAATTTGGACAGAACATGAATATAGCTTAGTGTCTCCTCTATCTTTGGAAAGATACATTTCCTCTGGGGGGAAATCACAAGCCATTGATAGAGAAGAGAAATAGATCCAAAAATTAGCAACAACTCTGTCCTCACAGCTTTCTGGCACAAGGTTGAGGTACCTGGCTCACCAGCCCTCTCAAGAGCAATTTACACACAATATTTCTGTGTTCAGTCCTGATCTTAATCCTTGATGCCCCCTGCAAACATCCAAGAAAAGCATCCTCTAAGAGCTCCTAACCTGGGGTCTCACATACTGCCCTATTTCGCAATTTTTTTTCTTTCACTATTTCACCATATCTTTTTTTGACAGCGTCAGTTCCACCCAAGTTACCAGGTATTTGGCACAAGTGTATTTATGGGCAGAAAGAGGACTCTAGAGACTAAAAAAAACAAACAAAAAAACCCACAAAAAAACCAACAAAAAAAACCCCACACTAAAAAAAAGCCAAAAACAAAACAAAAAATTTGTGTGAAAAGTGTTATGTGTAGTTCTATTTTTAAGCAATGTATGCACTCCTTTGATTTAAAATAAAATAAAATTAGGAGTTACTCCTAGGCCATTAAGCATTCTGGAATATAATAATGACTAAAAAAAGGCAGATATATACTCGAGTGAAAAAGTAGGAAAGACACTGACAGAAGAAAAACTCTGATTAAAAAAATATATTTGCCAGAATTGAATCATGACATATCAATGCCAAGGAGTGAACAGAATTTAAATCTGAGGTAATATGGGAAAACACAGACCTCTCTCCTGATCAGCTTCATTTCTTGATGTAAAGGAAAGCACTCATTTTTCAGATCTTTCCCCTCTTCCCTCTCTCTTCATCAATTATAGAGCTGCCACTACATTACTATCTTTTCATCATCCAGTCACCATCACTAAATCCCCTTCAAATGAGATGTGCTCATTTCAGTGGGACAACTCCCTGTGTTTTAAACAGGAATAGGAAGGTGTATTTCCCTCCAATTCTCCGCATCCACATTTACCTGCAGGGGGAAGCTTGACTTGGTGCCTATCTCTGTGATCCTACAGCACTCCAGGACTGGCAAGGCACAAAATCCCTCTCCCTATGGCTGACACAAATCTGCCTACAGTTCAACCGCCTTACTCAAAAGTGAGCATCCAGCATACCTTTGCCACTTCACCCAAATGATAAACCTGTTTAATTCTTAAACATATTAAAATGTTCAAGTTCTCTGCTGCAATTCACTAAGCAACTGAGGTGGGGGGTGAGTGACTGTTGACCAGTGGAAGAAAGTGTCTGGCAAAGGATGGGTCTCTCTGTTCCCAAGCCCTCTCTCATCCCTGACTCTGTCCCTCTAGCAGAGATCTGAAGTTGTGCAATGACTGGTGGTACATCTCCTCCCCCCGCCAAAGCTGTCTGTCTCTCCCAGACTAAAGGGAGGCTGGTGGCAAGTTGCAGGGTTGAGCAGTGATCTAAAGAGCCTTCCTGGGAAGACGTCCCCTTACCTTTCTCGCAACAACAGAGTGCTGCCAGGGCCAGAGTCACAATCAGCAGTGCCAGCAGAGTCCTCATGTCTTCTTTGGCTGTGCTAGTCTCCCAAACCTCAGAGTTTTCCTGGAGGTTACTGAAGTTCTCCGTGGCTTGCTTTTGGGCAGCAGTTTATATCCTGTGATTGCTTGGAAAGATCAAGGATCTGGCTTGTGTTCCTGTGTCTGCACTCCAAAACAAAGCCCGTCCTTTGGGCCAGGGGATACTGGATCCTGGCAGTCATTTTGACATCCATCTCACGACTTGGGGCATTTCCAGAAGATTTTATCAGAGGTTTTGAATGGGACCGTTGAAGAAAAACAACTGGATTTAAGAAAGTCATCTTTCTTATAAACTTCAAAGTCATTCAGTTGTGTTGGAAAGGCAGGAGAGGTACCAGGCACACCCGGTGGTGATCCTTTTCCCCACCCCACCTTGACTCATTCCCCTGAAGGTAAAGAAACTTGTAAAACAGTTTGCATAGGGCAAACACATTAGTTTCTCAGAGAGTTTCACAATTTCACCAAATCACTTTGGAGAGATGATTGTTGGGAACTTTGGAAGCTAGTTTGAGGGAGGGCCTTTTTTTTCTTCCTGGAAATCTTCCTAGTTTCAAAGCTTTATTTTGGCTTTTCTTGTCTAAAAATCAAATAAACATTTAGACTCTAAAAGTGTTTTATTCTTCAGGATTTGAGTGGTTAAAGTTGCTTGGTACATCAAGAGCCTTGCATGGGCTCTTCTACAGCCTATCTATCAATGACCGCACACTCCCAAACCCACTATCCAAGTTCCCAAAGCCATGTCCCACAAACAGCACAGGAATCATAATCTTCCTCCACTTTCTATCCAGTCCTCCTCAGACCCATGTGCAGGGGATGTTTCCAAGGGTTATAGAAGTACAGTTTAAAAGGCTGCCAAGGGCAGTCAGAGCCATTAGGGATTTTGCCAATTATTAGAAACACTGTCTTTTATCTTACAGAATTTTCAGGATTAAAAAAAACAAAGTTAACTTCTCTACAGCCCAGGAAAGATGAATATATATACTAACAACTTCCAGCAAAAGTTGTTGTACATATATTATTCCAGCAAAAGAGCAACCGTTTAAAAATAAATAAATATCTAAAAATAATAGGTATTCTAGGAAAATTATGCTTCCAGATGAATACTTGAAATAATATAAATAAATATACAATTCTAGTAATCCAAACAGCTTTATTTGTCCTCCCAGCTTTTCCCAAGCTTTCTAACCGGCATGTAGTCTCTTAAAACTGTTAGGTTGTTGCTCACACTAATGAAATCCCACAGAAATCTCTGGTATTATTCAATATTTATACTGCTTAACTGGAGGTTGGAATCACAAGATATTTCTGGACACAGACTCAGACAGCACTAGCCCTGTGTCTTCTGTTTTGGTAGTGTCACAGTGTCAAGTCAAACCCAGACACTGCAGACTTGTTGATTTTAGGGTATGCAAGTTTGCTCCAGTTGGTGATCATAAGATTTACTTCCTTGGGAACATGCAGAGCAAGCGTGGGTGTGAATATACCTAATCCAAATAGTTTTTTTTCCTTAAACGCATTTATCTCTCACTTTTTCCCCTGGACAAAACTTTAGCAACTGGCAGGATGGAGTTTCCTATCAGAAGGGTTTTCAATAAATAAATCAATCACATTTCTTTCCAAAGGTTCAATTTCAAAGCTGGCAAAGCTCTGAGGTATATTTTGGAAGAAGATTTCTAATGTGCCAGGTAGATTTGGCTCTAGACTTTATTTCACAGATTAGTCAACAACTTGATACTTTATACCTCATAGCCTTTGATAGCATGCCGTGAACCTTTCCCACTTCTATAATTTGCAGGTGCCTGTGAGCCTGGAGTTGTAAATGTTCAAACCATCTGTGCTGAGCTAAGATAGATGTTATGTCCCCTACACATCACACACCAAGGAGTGTCCCAGCTGCTGTGGCTGCTGACCAGCCCAGAACAGTATTGAATTCTTGGGCATGTCAGCACTGGTGCTGTTTAGTCTGGGGACAGGCTCTGCAATGTGCCCTGGTGATGGTGGTGGTGACAACCCAACTGCAGTCATGCTCACTCCTCAGTGGTGCAGGAGGTGCTCAGTAACAAGTGCACAGGGTTAACACATCTTGCTTTCAAATGATTTGTGAACGGTAAAATTAAATTGTTCTTTACAAACAAAATTGGGCCTGACCCCAAAACCTGGGTTTCTTTTATTTGTTTGTTTGCCACCAAGACCCCTCTCCACCTTTGGTTTCAGCAGCTTTCTAGTGCTACCAGAATCATTCCAAGTGGAAGTAAGGGTTTTGAAAGGGGATTGCAAAAAGTTAAGTCTGAACCACACACTCCTTTCTACAGGAGTACCCTACATCATGACCTGATGGTAACTGGATAAACAAGAAGAAACTTACAGGCATTTTCTGTCACCAACCCTCACTCTAACTTTGTTTTTAAGATTAAATAGGTACCTTCTAAGTTTTGTTTTCCCAACTGATGAAAGACATTACAGATTTAATTTTCAAAAAGTGCCTTCTGAACACCATAGCATTATAAGATGTCTTAAGATTGGGAGCTGAGATTGGCCAGTGACTTCTGAAAGAAGCAACTTGTAGACCCCGCAACAAAAACACTGTAGATCCTTTCAAACTCTTATGATTGCAAGGTAGTAATTTTTTCCCCAGAATCTATGATAAACAAACTCAGCTTCTTCATGGAAAATTACACACCCCCTTTAAAAATACTGTGACTCATGAGAAGATAGTATCAAACCAGCAATTTATTGTGTAGTAAACACCCACATCCTGAACTCACTCTGATCTCTGCTACATCAGCTCAGCACTAATTAACACAGTGTAGGAATCCATGGCTACATGGGAGAGAAGCAGCAGGCAGGATAACATACAGGGACACAAGCAACTGAATATGTTTCAGAGCCGTTGCATTTTTTGGGAGGATACCCTGGACTCCAGGCCCCAGGATAGGGGCAGGTCATCCTTTACTTAGTCCTCCTCTTCCCAAAATAGTGCTTGTAAGCAGCAGCATAGCCATGGCGATAAGCGTACAGTTCACAAGGGTAGTAGTCCTCACAGATCTCCCTCTGACGTTCATGGGGTGCCTTAGTACGCTCCCTGATCCTGTAAAAGTAGGAGAGATGAAGGTTAAGTGCTGTCATCCCAAATATCTACCTACAGCCCTTTCCTGTACCACAACTCCCAACCAGGATTAAGGGTCTGTCACCAGAGTCCATTATCCAGCTACGAAGATCTTGGCACACCAGCTCCTGTGTTTACTACACCCAGGTAGTGATGTGACTACAGCAGGAATGTTTTGCCTCCCCAGGTAACCTTTTATTTCAGGGCTAAGTGAGGTGGTAGAGAGAGGGGAATGGCTTCTGCCTCAGCCTGAGGAAGGGTCCTCCCTTTGCAGCCTACCTCAGCCTACTCCCTTCAGCTCTTCCCCAAAACCACACAGGGAGCAAAGACCTAAAACACCCTGCAAGGGGCCAACTGGTACTGAGGAGGTTTGCTTTCATGCCTCACTAAGAGATGATTTCTGTGCTTCAGTCTTAATTTTCACAAGCCTTGCATGATGAATGAAATTGCCTATATCCATATTTTATAGAGGAGGCAAGGAGGCCCTCAGATGGCCCTGTGATTTAGAAAAGGTCATGCAAGTTCTGCTTGAGATCTGAGGACTAGAATAAGATCTCAAACTGAGCTTTCTTTCTGATCATCCCACACTCATTTCCTCTCCTTCTGTTGGTTTTTTTCCTTTAGAAGAATTAATCAGAATCCTCCCAGAATATGACATGTCCCCAAATCAAAGGACGTGTTCTCTGTTATCTGAATTCTCACTTCTCCCAGGACTGGGGACTTCAGGGATACCTCACATTGAGAGAGGGACTGAGGCTTCTCAGAAGTCACCATGGCTGCCACTTCTGGTACCAGCCTGTGCTTGGCAAGGAGGAACCTCTCCCCACTCCCATCTTCAGTGTCCTTAGTCCATAACATACCTTTCCTGAGTCATGGCTCCTAGTCTCGTGTCAGCTTGTATGAAGCCATTGGCCCTTCGCCTATTGATGAAGGGATCTGAGAAGGCAAGGAGTTATTCAGGATAGAGAGATACTTTTTCAACAACAGATTGCAACAAAAGCTAGCTTTCACCTTTATAACAGCCTCCTTGTCTACCCTCCCATGCACAATGAAACCCAAGACCTTTTAAATTCCCTCCTGTCGCCCCCACTGGTTCGTTCACAGGCTCTCCCTGTGGTTGGTGCAGCCTGTATGGAAGTGCACATGCTGCTCTTGCTCTGCTGTTACTCAAGTCACCTAGGGGAATGCTACTGTGATTTTGCTGCCACAGCTCCTCAAAGTAAGTGGAGCTTGGCGACGAAGAGGTAGGCACCAAGCTGCACAGACCATGGGAAGTCTGAGCACACTCAGAATTACAAGAATAGTGAAATTACAGGTAAAAACAGGAAGGGCCTGAGTAAGTCTCTCTGTCTCCAAGGTTAGGCAGTTACTGAAAGTTTCACTTTCGAGAAACATCACAGTCCTGTTGCAGAGTTCAGGAGTCTGTGGATGTCTTTGATATTGGCTCGCACATGTGCTTTTGTGCTTCTAAATATCTGCTTTGTGAGGCCCTTCTTCTAGATGTCCAAATTCCTTTTTAGTTTCAGTCCATCTGTTCTCTAACCTCTCCAGGATATTGCTTGTTCCAGAGTGAGACTCTCCACCCTTTCATGCTTTTCCTGTGACACTCTCTTCCAGCAGAAGGATCCCCCTACCCATACATCCCATCTGCTTCCAAGGTGCTTAGGCAAGGCTCTCCTTGTCCTTTGGAGAGAATAAATTTTGTAACTGGCTTCTGCAGTATCTCTTTCCATGCTCATCCCAGAGCTTTTTGAGCTGTCCTTTTCTAGTGTCAGTTATAATCTGGTTTTGGTACATGCAACAGACACCTAAGCTCTGTTCGCCAATTTTCTTTTCCAATTTGCACTATATTCAATGCAAAATGGTGGTATTAACATGTGCTGATATATGTGAAGTCTTTTTTTAACTCTCTCCCTTTTTATTCTGAAACTCCATCTCCCAGTAAATTCAGTTTCCTAGGGCTGAGTGGTTCTACCTGTTTAATCCCTACAGTAAAGTACAAGGAAATGATCTTGGGCACATCTGTAGCACACTTCAAATCCAAGAAAACAGTAAAGCAGTCTTACAATAATGCTCATGGGACTCCATGCTCTCATGGGACTCTGGGGAAAGAAAGAGTAAAACATGGTAAGACACTGTATTGATAGGAATCGGTCTTTCACACTCTGCAGATCAATAGAACACACAAGTCAGAGAAGCCAGGTTTTAAGGTATTGTTTAAAAGGAAGAGGAAGGGATCAGAGGTGTGACCTAGAATTTATTCAAGTTTAGAGTGTTCAGGAATTTAATATGGAGCCATATGGTGTTTTAGTCAGGACTTCCAGACTTGTGCTTGGTCATCCAGTCTGATTCTCAAGAATGGTTCCTCACCTTCTGTTCCTGACACTACAGTGGGTATGATACATGCTTACCTTCAAAGCTTACAAGTGTTCTTAGGGAATGGATTAGCACAGTGAAATGCACTTGACTCTTGGATAAAGCAGCACGTTAATTCCACCAGTACAGAACTGTGTGCCTCACAGGAAAACAGGGCTAACATTACAAAAGAAAAAAGGGAAATCTTCCTATTAACAAGGAATAACTAATAACTTATTGTAGTCCAGACAACAAAAGGACAGAAAGAGGAGCAGTCTGTGAGGTGAGCTGGAACAGAGAGGAAGGGGCTGAAGCATCCTGGACCACAAATCCCAGTGACTGGAGCTGACAGCTCTGGATCAGGAATAGGAGGATCTGACGCAAGGGCAACAAAGCAGGCAAGAGATTGAGAGAAAAGAAGACACAAAGTTACATAACAAAGATCTGAACAGAACGAAAAAATATCTGCAGGTTTGGAGTTATCATTCTACCCAGCAATGAAGGTCACCTACCATAGCAAGTGGCAGTCATCACCAAGACAGCCAGAAACGTAAGGATGATGAGAGTGCGCATTGTGCCAGTGCAGGGAGGAATCTCTCACTGTCTTTCTTGCTGTGTTTTTTCTTTCTTCCCACTGAGGGCAGCTGAAGATCCTGGGCTGACTGCAAAATTAGCAGTGGAATGTTTATTAAGAAAACATAGTTAGGAGGGGGCCTATGAAAGAGCCTGGGCAAGACGATGGCTAGCTGGTACACTCTCTATGGAGCCATATCCTCTATTAGTAGATTGAATCAAGCTTTGGGTATGCATGCCCCCTTCCTCTCCCAGTTCAGGGCTTGGGGCCATAATCCAGAGACAAACATGTCACTAACACTCCATACTCATAAAAGCTGGCCTGCTTTTGGAATTTCAGGAAAGGAATTTCAGAGACTGCCAGGGGTCCAAAGGCAGAGGTGTGTGTTGATCCCAAATGCAAATGTTTGCCTTTCTAATTTTTCCTCTGATCTGCCCTCTTTGTCCCCACCATATTCCATCTGGATAGAGCCAGCCCAAACTGTTTTGTCAGCTTTGCTGATGGAGATGTGGAGACTGAGGCTTCAAACACTCCTGCTTCCCTCAGTCCCCCTCTCTCCAGTGGCCCTTGCTCTGATCCCAGTCCACCAGTCATCAGAGGAGGAACAGAATCCTAGTGCCCCTTCCTGTCTCCTACTTTATTGCTCCAGGAGTAACAAGCAGCAACCTAAACAAATCCCTTCTGCCAAAGGGATCATCATTTTTGCATTAAGTTGACGCCCATAACTCTCTCTCAGAGGGCTCTCATTGTGGTACTGATACTACACTCCATTTCTAGACCAAGGAAGAACATCTTGGTGGAGGCAGAGGTAACCATATCTCTCAGGACTGATGTCTGTCTGGTCTAGCACTAGCAGTCCCTGCCCCACCTGGCACCGACATCAGATGTCAATGCAAGGCTTTTCAGCTGGGACAAATCTCCAAGACCAGCAGTCTCTGGGAGCATTACCTTGCTTTTTAAGCAACTAAAAGAGTTTGTCTGGGACCAATATCAAGGACAGCAGAGACAAAATATTGAGTGTTCAACTCTCCAGCAGCTCTGTGCAAAAATAGAAAGCAGTGAAAGAAGAAAGGAGGAATTACAGAGGTGGCCATCCCTGCTGGGTGAAAAGCAAAGAGGAGTAGTTTGCTAGAGGAAAGGTGGGGAGGGAAAGTGGGTACCCAGTGCCTGCCAGCCCTCGCATAACAGCAGTGGTGGGGCCGGGACCCTGCACACTGCCTGGGGATGGGCCTCGGGCATAGGAACCTTTCTCAAGTGTGATCCAAGCTGTGATGACCACCTGTTTTGTCCATGTATACATGCAGGCATCAGGATCTCTCACTGTCAGGGTACAGAGCGAATGCACTCTGGATGCAGGCCATTCTCCCCAAACCACTCTGCTGTTGTCACTGCTGTTACATTCAGAGGCCAATCCGTGAAACCACACTGCAGGTAACACAGCCAAGAACTACAGGGTCAGCTAGCCAGAGCCTAACCCTTCACCAGCGAGGAGTGAAAATTCAGTGGAAAAAGATTAATCTTTTAATCTTACTAAATTAATATTTACAACTTAGCCTTTCAACGCCAAACTCATGGCCCTTTTCTGAAGCCTCTGGTTTCTGGGAGAGAAATTGAGAAGGGTCATCAACTACAGATGAAAGAGATAGAATTGCTTTTCTTCCCTGTTATCCCATCCCACGTGGAGATCACCTCAGTCCTGTGCCATCAATGTTTAGCCTGAAATGAGGAGGAAAACTAGGGAAAAAAACATGTCTGCTATACACAAAAGGTCAGAAGGGAACCGAGACATTTATGCTGCCCTTCCATGCCCTGCCACTCCAGCCTCTTCAAGGAAAACCTCTGCGCTGTGATTGTTTTCATTCCTTAGAGCTCATAGTTTTGGACTTAGTGTTGAATGTGGATTTTATAGGTTTCCCAAGTGTCTTGTACAGGAGCTACTAAGAAAGGGAGATTTGAGGGAGAAACTGGAGGAGGGTCCCCAGTGGGAAAACAGTGGGGCACAGAGAGGGAGATGCTGGGAGTACTTTGGAATGAAGGTGAGGCTGCACAATGGGAAACTCCAACATGCTTTCCAGCCAAACCCTCTTTATTTATCTTTACTCAAGGCAGAGCTCTCTGCTCCCTGGAAGACTCTGTTCCCATTTCAGAGGATGCTAATCCCAGAATGCCTGGAGCATGCCCTGCATCAACCACAGGAGAAGAGCCACAAACACCACTTTAACCCAAATGTTTCATTTTTCACCACAGAGGCAATACATTTTTCAAGGGTGAACATGCCAGCTACACAGCCCTATACCAACAATTCTCCTTCGGGGAATGCTTTCTCTTGCAAAAGTACATCTCCTTTATACTCTCCCTGCACTCCATACTTCCCCAGTACACATCTCCCCTCCCCAGCAACAGTGGGCTGCCCCAGAGGTAACACACTATGCAAGACAGTGAGCCCAATCCCTCTGCTTTCTAGAAGCAGCCACTGATTAGAAATAGAGAAGGGAGCTAAGACGAATCACCTGCACATGCCAGGGAAATCTCCTCATTCCCATAAATAAAGGGGGGGATCAAAAAAGCAGCCCTGATCTGTCTACTGCTGGATTGGAGACTCACAACGTTATGCACATGCCTTAGCAACCACTCCTAACATTTTGCAGCTGTGAAGCACCAGCAAGGCAATAATAACAAGCAGCTGTCCAGTAAAAGCAAGGCGGTCCCTGCATACTCACTAAGGTGTTGCTTCCCTGCCAGCCTGCAGCTCTTGTCTGACGGTGCAGCTCTTCTGGTGTCCTGAACTCTGGACTGAAGAAAAGGGACCTTTTATTTATTAGCATTAATCAGTGACTCCTCCCCTCTCCCACTCTTGATCCACCCCCAAGGGTACCACCTTCTCCATCAGAAATACCTTCTGCTCACAGCCAGGAAACCAACAACCTCAAGGAACTGAGCCAAGAGGGAGAGAGCCAGAGCAGACACCAGGGACTAGTGGGGGCACAGCCACATCCAGGTTACCTTTCTGTGCCTAGGAACAATGAGTGGACAGAGATCTGAGAACAAGCTCCAGTCTCCCTTTTTGCTGCAAGACCCTCCCTCTTCCACTCCCTCCTCCCCTTCTGTGCTCTAAACTCAAGCCATGCTGCTAGCCAGGGTACCTGTTCTTCCACAGGGAACAGGAAGCCAGAAGCCTTCTCCCCCTCTCTTCATGCTGCTTTTACAACTGTCTGATCCCCTCTCTTAGTGGCAGGCTAATGTCAGTCTGAAAATTCACATAACAAAGGTGTCTGCTTTTGGAGGTAGCTCTGAAAACCCCGAAGTGACAAAACCCTGTGAGTTGGCTTACACAAACTTAACCCTTGAGATGCACCCTCTCAGTTCACACCAGGCCCATAACGGTGCTGGACAACCTAGGACATGTACTTGTTGGACAGGACTACTGGGCTTCTGATCCTGTCTGCACCACCTAGCACATGGTGCGTGTAGAGCACACAGGCACCACACTGGGATGCTGAACCCATGAGAGTAGCAACCAGCAGCAGTGCTCCCTCCCTCAGCAGAAATCCATGCCTGGTGCACGCTCAGCAAAGGTGCTGGCAGGCCCAGTCCCTAAGTAAGGGTAGGCATAGACTGAGGGCCTGAGCTCAGCAGAGGTGCAATCATAGAATCATAGCATGGTTTGGGTTGGAAGGGACCTTACAGATCATCTAGTTCCAACTCCTCTGCCATGGGTAGGGACACCTTACACTAGCTCAGGTTGCTCAAAGCCCCATCCAGACAGCACAAGACCCTGGTCTTTGGGTATTCACAACTTCTCTGGGCAACACCTTTCAGCATCTCTCCACCCTCACAGCAAAGAATTTCATTGTAACATCTAATGGAGGGATGACCGGCTGCAGAATTAGTGGTTTGGGAAGTTAAGAAAGAAAACCCATCACATTATTCATTAATTGAACAGCTGGTGAGTATGGCTTGCCTGGTCCAGAAAAAGATCAAGTGTGGCCTGATGTGCAGTCTCAGTTGCAAAATGAAAATGATGCCATATGCATGGAGTTAAAGAACCTCCAAATGTTTGGACAGAGAACAGTGAGGAACTCCAGTTCAAGGGTCGTCTCTTTAACTCCTACAGTGCTCTGTGAGTCTGGGGAAAGTTCAGACTTCTCTGTGGCAAAAAGGTACCATGTTACTCGTGTCCTTGCACAAGCAGCTATTGGTCCTCAGAGCCTGAGAACATCAACCTTGAACTGTTTCCAAGGTATAGGACACTTAGTCATGAACCACTTCTGCAAAGCAGTGCAAACAGGAGGACATTTCTTGCCCTAATCTACTACCCTTCAGGGTCATCTGAATATTCGGCCCTACGACATGCTGCACCCTGAAAGAGATCAGATCTGGTCACCCTCATCTATATAGGTACTGGTAAACCTTTGGCCCCAGTGCCATCTGACAAACTTTTAGTTAAGTTGGAGAAAATGGGCATTAAAGCCAAAACCGTGAGATGGTAAGGAACCAGACAAATGGGGTGGAAGCTTAAGCAGTGAAAAAGAGAAATGTTGAGAAACTACTAATTTAGTTTCTCTTGGGACTAGTTTTACTGAATACTTCCATTCATGGCTGGCTTTAAAAAGGAATACTTGTTGAGGAGTTTTGTCAATAACACAAAGCAAGAAAGCAACAGCAGTGAAAAGGAGGCATGAGAGCTTATGCAGGATGAAAAGGAGGACCTTGAAAGCTCCAATAACAGAAACAGGATAATATGCAACAGCACAAAGGCAAGGTCTTCTATTGGGATTAGCAGAAAGAATCCTGCTGTAAATTAAAAGCTCAAAAACTGAAAGTAAAGAGTTAATAAAAGGAACAACTATGAACCAACAATCATAAAGTTGACGACAGAATATGATTCTGATATGTCTACTGAGAATGTGCCTGCAGAGATGGGCATCTATTAGTGCCATTGGATAATTTACGCAGGATCCCTCTGTATGGCCCAGGTCACCTTTGTTCACGGAAGAATAATTCCAGTGGGAAGTGCTATAGATGAGGACTAACAAGACAAGGTGGTTTGCGCTCACACCCAAAATGACAGACCGTAGCCTGTGGGAAGCACCAAGCCTCTCCACCCCTGGGCTTTTCCAGCAGGACAATGAACTAGCAATTACATTCTGTTTCCAGTACCCCTCCAGGGGCTGTTTCAGAGTCCACAGCTCTCATGATTAGGATAAATCTCATTTTCAGACTCTGTGTCTTTAGGGCCATGATCCATATCTATGTGTCCCTCACCCAGTGCCCAGCTCGTGATAGGAAGACTTCAGCAGAGTTGCTGAGCACTACAGTAAAGGAATAAACCCTATCAGCTCTGCAACAGAGCAGGGTTTCCAAACCCAGGTTGTCTGGAGTAACAAATAACTGGACTCATCAATCTGGACAGTCCTTTTCAAGCTTGCTCCTGTGTTTCAGGATGGAAGTTAGTCAGCAACCACATGGTCTATGGCTTAGGAAGAGATTTCTCAACATGACAAACAAGTGCTTTTTAGAACAACTAGTTCTACAGCACATGAGAAAACAAGATTTTATTTTTATTTTTTCATTTGGTCCTAAGTAATACCTCGGAACTGATCCAAGAAGAAAGTATAATTGAGCCATTAAGTAAGAGTGTCCAAGTATCCACAATCTAATTAAAGTCAACAACCTCATGGAATAAATCGTGCTGAAAACTAGCATACTGACACTAAGCTTTAGAAAGAGAGATGTCTTTTAAACACAGAAGCTAGTCAAAAGACTATAAAATAAAAATAAACAGAACACATTTCAGACATTTAAAGAACTCGATATACATATCTGAACGTGTGTTAGTTCTGGCAGCAAACTTACTCAGCTACCCGAAATTAACCCTAAAACTAGTTCAAATGCTAGTTCAACCTGGGAAAGACACATTTCAAGAACAGATTGAAAAATTTCCGAAGGTTAAGAGAAAGGGGAAGCACATAAACAGGAGAAATCTAGTTTCACAGCAATCGAACATTATTTGCAAAATAACTGAAATTATTAGTTTCCATTTCCATGGTGGGATGGGGAGAAGAGAGTAATTTCATAATAGATAAGTGGTGGGGATGGGGAAAAAAATAATTCCATAAAAAGTAAGCAGTGAGTTTTTTCCTCAAAAAATATTTAAACACATATATTTGAAACCTGTCTTGACCTTTCCCCTGAGAAAAATTTTGCCCCCAGCACTACAACATTCTGCAAAAATAACAGTTTCCAGTGTGAAAATATGTATTGGTTCTAACAAAGTGAATCCATGTATAGTCTTAGTGCTGTGAAAACCACCATCTAAGCTTACAGACAGTGACAGTGGGTAGGGAAGGTTCCCATACCAGCTCACAGCTATTTTTCTTTCCTGTTTTCTCCAACATTTTGGGCTAGGGTGCACTTTAGAAGTTCCCCTTTCCATCTTACATAATGACTTCCAGTGACTTTCTCCTGCCCATGGATGTGGAGTACCCCTGCAGCCTGAAGGGTGTCACTCTGGGCTCTGGGACAACTGGTTGCTCAGTACCCCAGTGTCAAGGAGCAGGACTGAAAATAAATACCATAAAGAGGCCCAGATCCTTCCTCCCTGAACAAAGAGGGTGAGAGGACAATTCTTCTTCCACCTGCACTGGCCTACAGAATTTGGTCCTATCTCCACATGAGTCATGACCATAAAAAGAAATTTACAGTTGGCGAGCTGTCAGATTTGGCTCGTTGGCTGGTAGGTAGACTGGGGACTTTTTTGGCCACTGTATTATGTTGTTGGTGGCAGATGATTAATCAACTGAAATTCAGAGATTAGTGTCCAGATACGACCTCACAGCCATGGTCTGTGCAGTTGTGACCCTCAAAGTTACTCCTTGTAATCCATCAGACTTCAAAATGAAGTCCAATATCCTAGAAAAGTCACAGACTGGGGATGAATACAGGAGTATTTGGAGTCAGCAGTACAGCCTAATGGAAGCTCATTGCTCTCCATTTCTGCTTGCTGCAAAAAAGTGAGCCTGGCTCAAGCCTTCAATTCCAATACTCAGCGCCCTTCATGGGATGTCACTGAGTTACTTTAAAGACTATCTCTGTTTGGCCAGGACTTCCCAGAACAGCTGTGTTCAGCTGAAACAATGAAAAAAGATTACTGGTAATAGGAAGTTCATGAGCACAGAAGACTAAAATTTCACAGAAGCCAGACCAAGGTTATTCAGTTCACTGAATAAAGTAACCAAAACATTCTGGGCTAAGAGCTAACTCTGCTGCTTCCTTTGGCTTCACCTACACCCACGCACACATGCTCACATACACTGATCAGCATATTTCTCTTTCAGTCTGGAAAGGAAGGAAGACACAGGATAATGTTAATATTATTTGGATGTTGAAAAAATTGGGAGAGGCTCTTGTGTAGGGATTAAATAACCCATCTAAGTAACTAGAATTGCTTGTACTTCAGGTATCCTAAGAAAAACTGAGCAAGCCAAAAGTTCGAACTTCATATAAACAGAGCATGCTTCTGGGTTGTACTCTTATGGGAAAGGGGAGCAGAAATCTCTCTTTTTTTTCCACTCTCATTTCCCTTGCTTCACCACATGAACACAAAAATGTCCTGACCTGACTTATTCTTTGGGATCAGATGAGATTTACCCGCCTTATTTCCTGTACAGACATGTAGAGAGATAAGAAAGCAGCTGTGGTTGCACTCTTCTTATCCATCTGGTAAATAAAAAAATAACAGTAGTGCCTCTTTTTTTTCAGCACAAACTTTGATAGCATCTTAGATCCCAAATCTGCCTGCCCTT